TAGTAGCTCTGTGTCTCTTTTCACTTGTGTTACATAGTTGTGTTGGTGTCTTGGTCGTCATGTGTTATCTTTTCGTGGTCATTGTGTATCTTAACAGCCTTTTGTCTCATTTCTTGTAAGTCTCTGTAGTGTCTCTTTGTGTATATTTGTAGTTGTTTTGTGTCTCCTGTAGTCGCTTATGTTTCTTTGTAGTCAACCACACTTGCTCAGTATGCCATTCAGTACACACACACACACACACACACACACACACACACACACACACACACACACACACACACACACACACACAAACACACACCTAAGCTGTGTTTACTGGCAGGCTGTAGAATGTGTCAGTAGATAATAAAGGTGTGGTCAAAGCACAGAAAACATTTCTCACATATCCTGGCTCGAGGAGGATTAATACCTGAGAGCTGATGTGGTTTGATCTTCATAATAAAAGACAACGTTAAATGTTTTCCATCTCACATAAAACTGTCTTTACGTTGCCTCTTCAGCAAGGCACAGAATAGATGGATGGATGGATGGATAGATAGATAGATGGATGGATGGAGAGATAGATAGATAGATGGATGGATGGATAGATAGATAGAGAGATAGATAGATAGATAGATAGATGAATGGATGGATAGATAGATAGATAGAGGTGGATAGAGGGAGAGATATATGGATAGTAATTTAAAAAAAATCGGAAAGGAGAATTAACAATTACAAATAAAATGAATTTTTTTTAAAATAAACTTAATTGTGAAAAATAAACAACAATATACAAAATTCTGGATAAGTAAAATAAAAAGTCAAAAATACAACAGGATCCAAAGTACTACAGGTCTTTTATAAGAAAGGAGAAACTCCAACTAGCAATCCCAAAGCACATCCAAATACATGTTTGATGTGAGGCACGTGCAGATATGAAGAGGTTTTTGAACCGTTTAAGAAGAAGTTGTTGTCAAGAGAGGGAAAAAGTACACAGTACACCCTACACCCTTTACTCAAGTAGAAGTACAGATACTCGTGTTTAAAAATACTCTGGTGAAAGTAGAAGTACTGACTAAACTTCTTTACTCAAGTAAAAGTAAAGAGGCTTTGAAATGTACTTCAGTAAAAAGTACCCATAACTAGCAGCTGCTTTAAAGAGTACCTGACCTCCCTTTATATTAATAGAACAATAATGTCATTGTTAGCTAATGAATGTTTCCATGCTGAACAACGGCAACATGACAACGTTTCCATTGGTCCCTCTTATTTAGAGAAGACCAGGAAATGATGGATACACGGATCGTGTTCAAATCAATAGGCGCGCAATGACTCTAAAGAATAATGATCACGCATCAAACACACATTCAGACTAAAGGAACCAGCTGTTTGGAAAATGAGAGAAGTAGAAAGTACAGGTATTTGAGTTCAACATGTAAGAAGTAGAAAGTACAGGTATTTGAGTTCAACATGTAAGAAGTAGAAAGTACAGGTATTTGAGTTCAACATGTAAGAAGTAGAAAGTACAGGTATTTGAGTTCAACATGTAAGAAGTAGAAAGTACAGGTATTTGAGTTCAACATGTGAGAAGTAGAAAGTACAGGTATTTGAGTTCAACATGTAAGAAGTAGAAAGTACAGGTATTTGTGTTCAACATGTGAGAAGTAGAAAGTACAGGTATTTGAGTTCAACATGTAAGAAGTAGAAAGTACAGGTATTTGAGTTCAACATGTGAGAAGTAGAAAGTACAGGTATTTGAGTTCAACATGTAAGAAGTAGAAAGTACAGGTATTTGTGTTTCAACATGTGAGAAGTAGAAAGTACAGGTATTTGAGTTCAACATGTAAGAAGTAGAAAGTACAGGTATTTGAGTTCAACATGTAAGAAGTAGAAAGTACAGGTATTTGAGTTCAACATGTAAGAAGTAGAAAGTACAGGTATTTGAGTTCAACATGTAAGAAGTAGAAAGTACAGGTATTTGAGTTCAACATGTAAGAAGTAGAAAGTACAGGTATTGGAGTTCAACATGTAAGAAGTAGAAAGTACAGGTATTTGGGTTCAACATGTAAGAAGTAGAAAGTACAGGTATTTGAGTTCAACATGTAAGAAGTAGAAAGTACAGGTATTTGGGTTCAACATGTAAGAAGTAGAAAGTACAGGTATTTGAGTTCAACATGTAAGAAGTAGAAAGTACAGGTATTTGAGTTCAACATGTAAGAAGTAGAAAGTACAGGTATTTGGGTTCAACATGTAAGAAGTAGAAAGTACAGGTATTTGGGTTCAACATGTAAGAAGTAGAAAGTACAGGTATTTGAGTTCAACATGTAAGAAGTAGAAAGTACAGGTATTTGAGTTCAACATGTAAGAAGTAGAAAGTACAGGTATTTGGGTTCAACATGTAAGAAGTAGAAAGTACAGGTATTTGTGTTCAACATGTAAGAAGTAGAAAGTACAGGTATTTGTGTTCAACATGTAAGAAGTAGAAAGTACAGGTATTTGTGTTCAACATGTGAGAAGTAGAAAGTACAGGTATTTGGGTTCAACATGTAAGAAGTAGAAAGTACAGGTATTTGAGTTCAACATGTGAGAAGTAGAAAGTACAGGTATTTGAGTTCAACATGTAAGAAGTAGAAAGTACAGGTATTTGAGTTCAACATGTAAGAAGTAGAAAGTACAGGTATTTGAGTTCAACATGTAAGAAGTAGAAAGTACAGGTATTTGTGTTCAACATGTAAGAAGTAGAAAGTACAGGTATTTGAGTTCAACATGTAAGAAGTAGAAAGTACAGGTATTTGGGTTCAACATGTAAGAAGTAGAAAGTACAGGTATTTGAGTTCAACATGTAAGAAGTAGAAAGTACAGGTATTTGAGTTCAACATGTAAGAAGTAGAAAGTACAGGTATTTGTGTTCAACATGTAAGAAGTAGAAAGTACAGGTATTTGTGTTCAACATGTGAGAAGTAGAAAGTACAGGTATTTGGGTTCAACATGTAAGAAGTAGAAAGTACAGGTATTTGAGTTCAACATGTAAGAAGTAGAAAGTACAGGTATTTGTGTTCAACATGTAAGAAGTAGAAAGTACAGGTAATTGGGTTCAACATGTAAGAAGTAGAAAGTACAGGTATTTGAGTTCAACATGTAAGAAGTAGAAAGTACAGGTATTTGAGTTCAACATGTAAGAAGTAGAAAGTACAGGTATTTGGGTTCAACATGTAAGAAGTAGAAAGTACAGGTATTTGAGTTCAACATGTAAGAAGTAGAAAGTACAGGTATTTGTGTTCAACATGTAAGAAGTAGAAAGTACAGGTATTTGTGTTCAACATGTAAGAAGTAGAAAGTACAGGTATTTGAGTTCAACATGTAAGAAGTAGAAAGTACAGGTATTTGTGTTCAACATGTAAGAAGTAGAAAGTACAGGTATTTGAGTTCAACATGTAAGAAGTAGAAAGTACAGGTAATTGGGTTCAACATGTAAGAAGTAGAAAGTACAGGTATTTGTGTTCAACATGTAAGAAGTAGAAAGTACAGGTATTTGAGTTCAACATGTAAGAAGTAGAAAGTACAGGTATTTGAGTTCAACATGTAAGAAGTAGAAAGTACAGGTATTTGGGTTCAACATGTAAGAAGTAGAAAGTACAGGTATTTGAGTTCAACATGTAAGAAGTAGAAAGTACAGGTATTTGTGTTCAACATGTAAGAAGTAGAAAGTACAGGTATTTGTGTTCAACATGTGAGAAGTAGAAAGTACAGGTATTTGGGTTCAACATGTAAGAAGTAGAAAGTACAGGTATTTGAGTTCAACATGTAAGAAGTAGAAAGTACAGGTATTTGTGTTCAACATGTAAGAAGTAGAAAGTACAGGTATTTGAGTTCAACATGTAAGAAGTAGAAAGTACAGGTATTTGTGTTCAACATGTAAGAAGTAGAAAGTACAGGTATTTGGGTTTTAACATGTAAGAAGTAGAAAGTACAGGTATTTGTGTTCAACATGTAAGAAGTAGAAAGTACAGGTATTTGGGTTTAACATGTAAGAAGTAGAAAGTACAGGTATTTGGGTTCAACATGTAAGAAGTAGAAAGTACAGGTATTTGTGTTCAACATGTAAGAAGTAGAAAGTACAGGTATTTGGGTTTAACATGTAAGAAGTAGAAAGTACAGGTATTTGTGTTCAACATGTAAGAAGTAGAAAGTACAGGTATTTGGGTTCAACATGTAAGAAGTAGAAAGTACAGGTATTTGGGTTCAACATGTAAGAAGTAGAAAGTACAGGTATTTGTGTTCAACATGTAAGAAGTAGAAAGTACAGGTATTTGGGTTCAAAATGTAAGAAGTAGAAAGTACAGGTATTTGGGTTCAACATGTAAGAAGTAGAAAGTACAGGTATTAGGGTTCAACATGTAAGAAGTAGAAAGTACAGGTATTTGGGTTCAACATGTAAGAAGTAGAAAGTACAGGTATTTGGGTTCAACATGTAAGAAGTAGAAAGTACAGGTATTTGTGTTCAACATGTAAGAAGTAGAAAGTACAGGTATTTGAGTTCAACATGTGAGAAGTAGAAAGTACAGGTATTTGAGTTCAACATGTAAGAAGTAGAAAGTACAGGTATTTGAGTTCAACATGTAAGAAGTAGAAAGTACAGGTATTTGTGTTCAACATGTAAGAAGTAGAAAGTACAGGTATTTGAGTTCAACATGTAAGAAGTAGAAAGTACAGGTATTTGAGTTCAACATGTAAGAAGTAGAAAGTACAGGTATTTGAGTTCAACATGTAAGAAGTAGAAAGTACAGGTATTTGTGTTCAATATGTAAGAAGTAGAAAGTACAGGTATTTGAGTTCAACATGTAAGAAGTCAAAGTAAAGAGTCGTCAGAAGAATAAGTAGTGGATTAAAGTACTGATACCAGAGAAATGTACTTAAGTACAAGTATTTGTACTCCACTACTTCCCACCTCTGGTTGTTGTGCTGCTGTTTCCCCGTCCATCCTATCCTCTTATTTAATTCTCTCCCCCTCCTCTCTGCAGACCCTGACTGGGGCTCCTGCACTTTGGGGGTCTTCGTCTGCCTCGCCTGCTCCGGGATCCACAGAAACATCCCCGACACCAGCAAGGTGAAGTCTCTGAGTCTGTCTCACTGGGAGGACCACGAGGTGCAGGTGAGACCACTAAAGAAACCCACAGGTGTCACAGGACTTTTAGCAGTGTTATAGGACGAGGTGTTTACTTTACTGTGTGCTTATTTAAGGATGGAGGTGCAAGGGGCTGAAACACAGCAATACAGATATTTAATAATGAAGGTGTTTGTTTTCTTGGCACAAAGGCGGGATAACTACACAATGTAATACCCAAATTGCTTTATTGGCTGATTGTTTAAAGTAACATTTGACTGGGATGGAAAGGTTTTGCTTACTGTAAGAAATGACGGTGATCTTTTAGAATACGTTGCGTAATGATCAATTAAAGTACCTTTAACATATTCAAAAAAACACATATGCTTACATCTTTTGCATGATGTATTGCTCTGACCAAAGAAAAGAGTGCTAGTTTGGCTCTCATGTTTCTATCAAAATACTTTGAATTCATCATCGCAGCTCTCTGATTCATAAGTTGTTACCTTTCCAAGTATTTAATTCCTGTGCCAGGGTGTGGTTGTTCCTCACTAATCCGTCCTGTTGTGTGTGTGTTGGTTAGTTTATGGCTGATCACGGCAATGAGCTGATGAAGAGTAAATATGAGGCTGCTATTCCCTTCTACTACTACAAACCAACCCACAAAGACTGCCAGTGAGTATCCATCGCAACACACACACACACACACACACACACACACACACACACACACACCCATAACATGTATACATCACTTCAGGGGACATTACATTGACTTACATGCATTTCCTGGAGACTTATCCTAACCCTTGCCCCTAACCTTACCCTAAACCTAATCCTAATCCTTAACCAAGTCTTCACCCTCACATTAATGATTCCCCTCACAGGGACCTCCAATTTGTCCCCATAAAGGAGTAAACAGATGTAGGTCCCCACAAGGATGGTAATGCTAGGCCACACACACACACACACACACACACACACACACACACACACACACACACACACATATATAAACACGGGTATGTATCAAATGTACATTACATACATTTTCACTGTAGTGAGATTTTTGATCTAATTATACTTTAAAAACTCTTCCGTCTTTTAAATCGTACATCTTCCCCACTCTCTGTATAGCATCTAAGCAAACACCTTCCACTGCATGGTAGTGCTTTGCTTTAATCAAATCACTGTTTGTACCCGGTGCTTTGTTTCCACTGGGGATATTTCGTCAGTGTAGGGAGGATCCTTGAGTCACACATCTGTATGCTGTTGGTGAAAACAGGAAACTAATTCATTCTTGTATCTGCAACCAAATATCGTAGAAATAAGTTAGCTTTTTAGTACTTCTTCCTGTTCCCTCGTCTCGAAGAGATTATCCTGCTGAACAGAAGTATAAGGAACGTTTGTTTGACATAGAGATTATTTTCTGCAATAATCCAAAATCACATTTTGTGGAGGGAACCAGGGAGATGCACACTTTAGGATCGTCCTACAAAAACCTGTCATATTTTCACCACTTTTTTGATAGTGGCCAGCCTGTTTATTTGTGCACAATGTCCTGTAACATGCTTGAGACGATTCTCTCTGACCAATCAGTGGTCTGCAGTGTTTTAACTAGGTCTCTAACTTCTTAACTTCTGCTAATAGAAAACGACAAAACAACTACTTTAGCAGAGGTGTGATTTGCCATGCTGTGAATACACTCCATTATTCATCCTTCCTCGCTTTACCCATACATCACTCATCATTTCTGAGCATGAATAAAACATTACCTGCATAAATCCTGCACTTTCTCTCAGCGTCATGTCCTCATTTAAATCATACGGGTGTTTCTTTTGCTTTGTAGATGTGTTTTTAATAATTCTTTCAAGGTTTAAAGCTCTGTCCTTCTCACACAAACAGCTGGACTTACATCAAGTGCCTCTTTGAAACCTTTCAGTACTCCTTGTTCTATGCTTACCTTTGATCCCAGCAGGAGGGAATTTCTGCATTTTTTTGGCAGCGATGCTCATGTTCTTGGATGTGTTTCAATCTCTCCTACCCGGCACATTTGCTCAAGCTTGGTCAAGTTGTTAAGGGTGTGTCTGTGGGAATTAAATGTGATTCAAGTCTTTGGTGGTGCGTGTGTGGGCAAATCACAATCTCTAATTACCTTTTAGTTTCAGGATCTTAAATGTTTTAGACTCCTCTCCGGCGCTGTGAGATAATTATTCTTCTCAGAGAACATTGCCTTTCTCCCGTTGAACACAAGCACTAACCGTCTCATCTCATTAACATCACACATCGTGTCCGTCTTCCTCCATGTTTTAAATGTCTTTTACTTTTCGACCACACTGGAAAAATGCTGCTAAATGGATAATAAAAACAAGGTGTTTTCGCTTTGAATAAGTGAACACATCTGCCAAAAGTACAAAATGGCTGGGTAAGATTTCTTGAAGTAAAGATGGGATATTTAGAAAAATGAGATCCTGTATTTGGCTGGGAAAACTTATTCTGAACTATATTTGACCAGAATTAGGGAAGTTGTTACAAAAAAAGACAGAAATGCTTGGGTTTTCTGTTTTCTGATGTTAGTTGGAGATGTTCCTCTAAAATAAGATGTTTTTAAGAGACTCTGATTTAAAAAGATGCCTTGTCTAAAAACAAGACTTAAGTTATTAGGTTTTATATCACGTTTAACGACATATTCTGACTAGAAATTAGACAAATATACTTGGCAAGATTTTTCATGTTTGCAGTGTGGGGTGCCGTCCTGAATCTCTCTGGTCTCTGCATCATTATGAAAGCATCACAATGTTTTTAAAATGTGATTTGTAATATTACTTTTAAGGTCCTTAGACACCAAGCCGATTTTCGGCGTCGATAAATGTCGGGCCATCGACGAGCGTTCTGTCGCCCTACACAGATTGGTGTGTCCCGCCCCGTCGTGTCTTTTTGGCCGTGCCGACACCTTCCGCCGCCGATTCAACATGTTGGGCTGTCGGTAAAAGAAATCACTCTGATTGGCTGTTCAGCTAGCGAATCAGAGCATGAGAAGCGAAACGGAAGTGAGGGACCCAAACAAACTATTAAGAAGGCAAATCTGAGATGTCATTTAACTCCATCTCTCGACTCAGGTTCGGGAAAGCCCCGTGAGCTTCTCGCTGTAGAGGGAACATGGAACGCGCTATTTGTTGTTTGTTTATATCACGCAGTCTGTTCTTCTTCTCTCGTTTATCACGCAGTCTGTCTTCCGGTTGTTGCCTCTTTTGAATGACTACCGCCGCCTGCTGGTGAGGAGAGTTATTGCAACTCACGCGTGCACAGTTCGTACGTGCTTCTTGGCTGTCGGCTGAAGTCTGCGGTGTGTTCCAGTGTCCGTCGGGACGTGTTCTTTGGTGTCAGTTTGGTGTGTCCGGGCCTTTAGACGTCTCAGTTGTCAGCCTTTTGGCGTTTGATGTGTGAACCGATGTCAGTGTTTTCAACATGCTGGAGGACAAGGGGAATTACACTTGTTTATGCCAATACACATGTTTAAACACAATGGAAAACCGTATTCAAAATATATTATTTCATTATTTGTGGACATATTGAGGGCATGATTGCTACGCTTAGACTGCAGGACAAAAGTAGGCTAAATCTGATTAGCATTGTTCTTTAGCATATGTCAGATTGGTGAGTGCCTTTTTGTTTACTTTGCTACGACAGTGTGGTGCATATTACTTTTTGTAAAGTGCATTTGGGTCAGCCAGGAATCTGATACTGGTCACATTTAAATTCAAAGGTTTTATTGTCATATGCACATGAGCTACAGTGTAGAAATGGCAATGAAATTATTCTGACCTGAGCTCCTCCAACGATGCAACATATATAATAAAATATAAATAAAACATAGTGCAAGAAGTCTATATACACTTAAAGAGAATATGATGTACACAAGAACAGAATATGAAATGAAATATTGGACAGTAAGATGCAATTAAATACGGTTTATTACGGTGATAAGTATTTAGATCATTAAGTAAAAAGCAACATGACAAAACATTTAATGAATAATGTGACCATTACAGAAAGAATGAGATATGGCCAATAAACCTGAATAGAGCAATAAGGCATGCAGTTTGGACGTAACCTTAGAGACGTTATTGTGTGTGCGCCACATCATCACAAATAGCTGCTGTAGCATCCACAATCAACAGATATATAGCTATAACAAACGGGCCATTGTTACCTGTATTTTCTAACACAAAAGTAGGAACTTCCTCGGGTTGTGTTGCATTTTAAAGCCCTTTAAATTTGCAAGGTCTCCTAGAAAACACGTTGCTGCTAATGAGGGAGAAGACCACTTATGTGAAGTTATTTGAACTCAATTGGTGTTTAATTAGATATTGTGAGAATGAAGTCAAAGCTAACCAGGTCCTGTTTTTAGAAACCTTTTCTGATTTATTCTCCTGTCTGAGGATTGCCTCCGGTTTACCTGCACACACACTTTGTGTTTCATCTTCTGCTGCAGCGGGCAGATCCCAGACAGGAATGTTTGGAATTGTATTCATGGGAGGCGGGGAGATTTTTGGAGAAGAGCAAAACCTTATCCTGTAGAAAACAAAAACACAGGCTGCCACACCTGAGTTCAAACCACTGGTTGACAACATCTTGGCTTCAATTTAAAGTGTGTGTGTGTGTGTGTGTGTGTGTGTGTGTGTGTGTGTGTGTGTGTGTGTGTGTGTGTGTGTGTGTGTGTGTGTGTGTGTGTGTGTGTGTGTGTGTGTGTGTGTGTGTGTGTGTGTGTGTGTGTGTGTGTGTGTGTGTGTGTGTGTGTGTGTGTGTGTGTGTGTGTGTGTGTGTGTGTGTGTGTGTGTGTGTGTGTGTGTGTGTGTGTGTGTGTGTGTGTGTGTGTGTGTGTGTCTCAGACCTCCATGCCTTTATCACACACACATTTGAACACACCTTCTCTGATCTTTAGTAATAATGACTTGCAGATGAAGGTGGGTGAGAATAAAACCCTCAGCCTCTCAGGTCGAGTTTCTTCTGGGATCAGCGTATAAAAAGAGCTGAAACTGCTGGATTGAACTTAAACCCACACGTGATGAAACACAAACAAATGATAGATGAAGCTGCAATTATCAGTCTACTAATTCAGTCAATTGAGGACATTGTTCATGCTATTTAGCTATTGATGAAATAAACCTTTCATGCAATAATGACATAATAAATGCAATTTTCAGTCTCTCAAATTTGGAGATTTCTTGATGTCATTGCTTTAAATTAAGACAGTGAATATTTTTGTAAGTCCAAAACCCTAAAATTGGATGACATCACCTTTGACTTGGAGAAAATGAAATACATTTTTCACTATTTAATTGACAGTTTATAAACCAAAACACCAATCAAGACACATCAATACATGTTCAAATGCATTTGTTGCAGCACTAGTTCTTAGACAAACAATATGATTGCTTGATCCTGAGCCAAGCTTGCTGTTATTTAAGGTGTCATGTTAAGCATGACATGAATTTATAGTTCCTACACAATTTAAATTATGGTATAATAAATGAGTTAACTTCAGTGTAAAGTAGCCAAGAAAAAAACAATAGCTTTTAGGTGAGATTTATACTAACATTTTGGGCTGTTGGTATGTCCAATAATACTTGTATACTATGGCTCTTTAAAATAACTTGGCTATTTTATTTTGTTTTGTTAGCTTTGCTAGCTAGCCTGTTGAACAGCTATTAGCTAACATCATAAAAAAGTATCTACATGTTCAGGCTTTTTTCTGGCATACAGTTCCAATGTTACGTTTACTTTTTTGAATTGTATGATTTAAAAGTATTATAATTAAAATCCCCAGGTATTAGTAATGTTTGCTCTTGTTAGCAACTGGGCTAGCTGACAATGCTAGCTACTTGATAACCAACAAAAAGCCAAAAAGTAAACACAAATATCAGTCTCATAACCAGTGTTTCTTAAATTAGGATTCATACTTATTATATACATTTAAATTACATAACAATCTTTATATTTGTACTGAATGTCTGCTCTAATGTAATCTAACACATGACGTCTTCTGGTCTGCTAGCTCTGTTGACATTTCATCTGTTTGTGTGCTCAGGACTCTCAGGGAGCAGTGGATCAGAGCAAAGTATGAGAGGAAGGAGTTCTGTGAGCCTGGGAACCACTTACTATATGAGGAAGGTGAGTGTGGGCACACACACACACACACACACACATACATACCATGTATACATCACTTCAGGGGACATTACATTGACTTACATGCATTTTGCTGGAGACTTATCCTAACCTTAACCCTAACCAACACATGCCTAACCCTAACCCTTAACCTAACCAAGTATTAGCCCTACAATTAATGATTCCCCTCATGGGGACCTCCATGTTGTCCCCATAAGGGAGGCCAGTCCCCACACGTGACTATGTAAACAGATGTATGTCCCCACAAGTATAGTAATGCTAGGACACACACACACACACACACACACACACACACACACACACACACACACACACACACACACACACACACACACACACACAGACACATGCATTAAAACACACATGCTAATGAAAAACCTTTGCTGGTTTCCTGCAGGAATGAGAGATGGCATGTTGATGAAGAGGGGGCGGGACAACGGGCAGTTCTTCAGCAGGAGATTCGTCCTCTCGGAGAGGGAGGGGACTCTGAAGTATTTCACCAAATATGACGTAAGCAAAAGCTGTAAATTCGACTTTTAGAGCCCACATCAAGCTTTACGTACACTAAACCATGTCTGCAAAACACTTGTTACATGTGCTAATAAGACCGCTTCCTAAATAGTGTTGTGTGAAGGCAGTAGTTTACTTCCAGCACATGTGCGACACATATGCAACCACATCACAAATACTTTAAATAGAGTGGTGCGGGAATAAGTCCTGAAACCCGGAAATTAGTCAGCATTTTATCACTTCCTGTCCCCTGGTCTGGAAATGTTTTAATGTGTTTTTGGTTGTTATCCTGAAATAAGGTCTGTGGTTAACAAACTGAAGAGATGTAACGGTTTGTTCTACGACATCAAATACGTCAGTAAATACCCCACTGGTGAATTAAAAAAAACGGCGGTTGCTAACAAGTGTCTAAATGAGACGACTAAACGTCATCACGCCCAACATTAGCCTCCTTTAGCTTAGCGGTGGTGACGTGAAGTCATGTGACCGGGCTGTAGTTCCTTTATAACCCAACATTAGCCGCCTTTAGCTTAGCGGTGGTGACGTGAAGTCATGTGACCGTGCTGTAGTTCCTTTATAGCCCAACATTAGCCTCCTTTAGCTTAGCGGTGGTGACGTGAAGACATGTGACCGCGCTGTAGTTCCTTTATAGCCCAACATTAGCCTCCTTTAGCTTAGCGGTGGTGACGTGAAGTCATGTGACCGTGCTGTAGTTCCTTTATAGCCCAACATTAGCCACCTTTAGCTTAGCGGTGGTGACGTGAAGTCATGTGACCGTGCTGTAGTTCCTTTATAGCCCAACATTAGCCACCTTTAGCTTAGCCGTGGTGACGTGAAGTCATGTGACCGTACTGTAGTTCCTTTATAGCCCAACATTAGCCACCTTTAGCTTAGCGGTGGTGACGTGAAGTCATGTGACCGTGCTGTAGTTCCTTTATAGCCCAACATTAGCCACCTTTAGCTTAGCGGTGGTGACGTGAAGTCATGTGACCGTGCTGTAGTTCCGTTATAGCCCAACATTAGCCACCTTTAGCTTAGCGGTGGTGACGTGAAGTCATGTGACCGTGCTGTAGTTCCTTTATAGCCCAACATTAGCCTCCTTTAGCTTAGCCGTGGTGACGTGAAGTCATGTGACCGTACTGTAGTTCCTTTATAGCCTAACGTTAGCTTTTTACTTATGTGGATTGCATTTGCTCTTCAACTCCTATAAAAGTGATGTTATGTCATGTTTAAGTTTCATAAACAGTTTTTCTACAATATCCCAAAATCCAATGGAAAAATCACATTGCAGTGCTAACTTCCAGGTGGACCTAGAAAATCACTGCTCCACTTTATAAGGGAGAACTTTAAGGACACATTATGTTCTGCAGGATTTGTACACACTTTATAACACCACAAGCATCTCAGAGCCCGGAGATACATACCAGCCGAAAGCCTACCAAAGGAGTCCTGCTTCCTCTGCTGCTTCTAAGTGTGCTGAAACAAGCTGGAGTGTGTCCTCTGTCAGAGTGGAGGAATCACTAAGCTGAACACCACCTGAACCAATTAGAGCTGGAAGCACTGGGAGTTTGTCACAGTGAAAATAATACATTTTGAATATGGTTTTCCAGTGTGTTTTAACACGTGTATTGGCATAACAACGTTTAATTCCCCTTGTCCTCCAGCACTTAGTTTGTCACAGTATTTCTCTCTGTATTCTCCTGGTGCCTCTGCTATAGCCAACAACAAAACAAAACCCTCTCATGCAGTCACAGAAATGATAAAGGAGAAAGTGTCGCTCGGGTGCTCTGGGCTCTGAGCTGCTTCTTGTGATTTCAGAAAAACCTGGAGGTGTGTAAAATATTCAGGCCCGAGTCACAGTCTGCCAGCTTCAGTTCCTCACATTTGTCTCACTTTCTGATGGAAAAGCAGAGCTGTTGTGTGTTGGCTGTTAAGGTCGAGGTACACATTAGATTATGCTCCTATTTAAATTGTAGTCGCACACACGTTTTCTGGGATCAGTGTTGGTCTGAGGCGAGATGGTTATCACTGACGCAGACTGATGTGTTGATAATAGATCCAGATATAATGCTCATGGTTAGAAATAGCACACAATTCGGCCTCAAGCTGTGATACCCAGCATGAACCGTGACTCTTTAACTTTACTATATTTTCTGGTTGAAGTCTGTCAGAAAAACAATGACATCAGGTCCCAGTCCATTTCCTTTATCATTCTTTGTTCATTATCTAACTTGTTCTACAACATACAGAGTTGTATCTAAACCCAGAATGGCATAATGATAGTGCAGACCTCAGCTAAAGTCAACAGTGCGTTCAAATGCATCTCAGATGTGTTGATAATAGGTCCAGATATCATTTTCATGGTTATAAAAAGCACATAATGTTGCCCTGAGCTTTGATACCCAGCTCTTCTGATCAAAGTGTATCTTTAATGTTTTTTATCAAGACTAATGGAAACAATTAAATCAGGTCCCAGACCATTTCATTCAGACATTTTTGTTCATTATTTAACTTTTCTAACAATATACAGAGTTGTATCTACAGTGCAGACATTAGCCAAAGTCAATGGTGCGTTCAAATGCATCTCAGATGGTGACATTTCCTGAGTTTGGAAGTATCTATTTCTGATTTTGTTTTATTTATGGGCTTTAAATTATAATATTGGAACAAAACATCGAAGCTACAAGGATGACTCCTTACATTGTACTCCTTACAGCTTTAAAACAAAATGTCAATATCTGTTACAGAGTTGTTGAAACAGCCGGACGTTTACCTGACTTTTCCAACTCCTTTTTCAGATGTATTCGAACACCTAGTGCAGTGATTCTCAAATGGGGGTACGCGGACCCCTAGGGGTACGTTGGGGTACTGCAGGGGGTACGTGAGATTTAAAAAAAAGAAATAATAAACTTTTTTTATTAAAAACATGCATGATTACAAAAATATTCTTAGTACAATAAGTTGAATAGAAAACACAATTGTATATAAAATATTCCTAGAACCACCAAGGGGGTCCTCATATAAACATGTCAAATGTGTGTATTGTATTTTATAGTTTTTCACAATATATCATTTTGTTCATTAGTTTTTTAAACATATATATTACTTCAGTTTATAAAAACGTTATTTTTTTTCATGCATAAAATGAAAATATCCTTAGTTTGTTGTAATTCATGCATGAAGGAGTTAATAAATCACACACTGAGGGAACATCACTATATTGTAATTATTTATATAGGCTTTTTCGATCAAAAATGTTGGGGGTCGGTCAGGGGGTACTTGGCTGAGAAGATGTTTCAAAGGGGGAACATTACTGAAAAGAGTTTGAGAAGCACTGCTTTAGGAGGAGATTCAGGTGATAAGGGGGGGGGGGGTTACCTCCTTGTTCAGATGTATTCGAACACCTAGTGAAAGCAGCATATCTTGCAATGTTAAAGAAAGTCAAAAATAAGTTGTGTGCCACGTTGTGATCCGGATCCACTCGAAAATGTAATTTGGCTTTTCCTCGGCTTACGGTACAGCCTTCCACCAAGTTTGATGAAAGTCACACTGCTAGTTTTTTTATGATCCTGCTGACAAAACAAATCGAAAACCTCTTCCTTGATGAAGGTAATAAAAAAGAGTATTAAGGTGGGACAAACAAATTATAAAAGTACCCGACAGCAATAGATGGAATACAATAAATAATCAGTGTTTCATATAATTAGTCCAAACAAAGTGTAGACATTTGCTGTTTAAAAAATCCCTAAACATTAGATATACAGTTCCTGAATTACCATAAGTCTTGTTGTTGACCCTTACATTTCTAACACACCTCCTTTTTCCTCTCCTTCCTCCCTCCCTCCTCAGGCTAAGGAGCCCAAAGCAGTGATCAAAGTGGACACCATCAACGCCACCTTCCAGCCGGAGAAGATCGGAAACCCCAACGGCCTGCAGATCACCTACCTCAAAGACTACAGCACGCGCAACTTCTTCGTCTACCACGACAACGGAAAGGTCTGCTCTTCTTCATGTCTCTTCTACATCAACATGTGTCCCCTCTTCTTCATGTCTCTTCTACATCAACATGTGTCCCCTCTTCTCCATGTCTCTTCTACATCAACATGTGTCCCCTCTTCTTCATGTCTCTTCTACATCAACATGTGTCCCCTCTTCTTCATGTCTCTTCTACATCAACATGTGTCCCCTCTTCTTCATGTCTCTCCTACATCAACATGTGTCCCCTCTTCTTCATGTCTCTCCTACATCAACATGTGTCCCCTCTTCAGGTAACCCCCCCCTTATCACCTGAATCTCCTCCTAGAGCACCATTGAGTTCTTTGTAACCAAATCTCTCTCAGAGGGGCGTGGGGAGGGGCTCCTTATTTTCATCTAAAGTAACAGACAGAGAATCAGCACTTTGGAAACAGGGCTGAAACAGAGGGGATTGTGGGTAATGCTGCAATGCATGATGTGTTTGGTGTTTCAGCCAATCAGAGACAGGCTCTGGATATATCTGAGAGCTGTGATATATTGATGAAAAACTGTATAATAGGGGACCTTTAAGAAAATGTCTTGCCAGTGATGCAGATGGAGGACTGTAAAAATGTGATCGACCTTTCTTAAACAAGATCAACTTTTAGATTATCATTATTATTTGTAATTACTTGCACATCTCAAAACATTCTCTTGCACTATTTATCTGTTGTATTTGTTCTATGTCCCATATATATATTCATGTATTTATTTCAACAAGGACCATGCATACAAATACATTAATCTCAGAGAAGAGAAGAATGAATGCTGCCAGATTTGAGCTAATAGCTCATTTCCATCTGCAGTCCTTCGTTGCATTGTTGGAAGAGCCTGGGACTTAAGTTTGTGATATGCCATATCTACACTGTAGCTACTGTGCACATGATGATAACGCCTTGAGTCTTTAATTATGTTTCCATCACATAAAGGATGTGTTGAAAACTAGATATTTGGTGCTTTTGGGGCGAGTCTCTAGACCAGGGGTGTCAAACTCAAGGCCCGGGGGCCAAATCCGGGCCCACGACTTCATTTCATGTGGCCCCACAAGAGCTTGCAAAAAATATGATATGTTTATTATGTGTTACATGCTACTTTACAGAAGCACGTTGCCAATAAACTACATGTCCCACAATGCATCTCAGAATTTGACTTTTCTTTTTTTAAATGTAACTTTTCTTTCAAAATGTCACTTAATTTTTTTATTTTGACTTTTCTTTTTACATCATTTTGTGACATTCTCACTGAAGAGACTTGCAATTATTTGCCCTAGACTTCTGCTTTCAGACGTAGTTAATTATGAAGTTATTACCCGATCCGATAATAATCCAATGCAGAGGCAATAAGGTAATATAATACATTATTTTATATATATTAAATATTCATATATGCATTTTTATATAGTCTTAAAGTTACAACCGGCCCTTTGAGTGCAACCTTAATGCTAATGTGGCCCGCAATGAAATTGAGTTTGACCCCCCTGCTCTAGACCCTTTTAGAAACCATCAGAATCAGAAAGAGGTTTATTGACTTGGTGTTGTGGTGCAGATATCATTTAACCTACAAATAAAACTACAATTTAAAACACAGATAATCCCTCGTGGGGAAATTGTTTCTCTGCATTTGACCCATCCTAGTGTTAGGAGCAGTGTGCTGCCATTTTGAACGGCGCCCGGGGAGCCGTGTAGGGAACGGTGCCTTGCTCAGGGACACCTCGGTAGCACTTGGTCTTTCCGGGACTTGAACTGGTGACCTTCCAGTTGCCAAGCCAAGTCCCTATCGACTTCACCACCACCACCCCGATAGATAGAAAACTATTTTAATAAAATATAGCAGTATTTACATTGAATATGGTTGAAATCGTAGAATTGGAATTAAATATGTGCAGTAGTGAAAAACAAAATATTGTATACATTGTTTGCATCCGTACCAATTTGCCCCTGCTGATAGAATCCATCAGCTGTTACATCCGAGCTCTTCATCTACTGTTCTCTGTTATTGCATGAATACACAGTGCAATATGTGAAGTATGTCTGTGTGTCAGGTCGAGAAGTTATTTCACATAAATAGACACAGCATCCAATCTTTTGCAAAAGTGTTTTAATATAGAAAAATGTGGAAGTTATTGAAATGATTAATGACTAGCTGGTGAGTTTTAGTTCTTGTTTTAAGACATAAAAAGACAACTTTTGGTTTCGAAAATCTATTTATCTCTGGGTTATTTTAATATGTTGTTACTTCCCCCTATATTCTTAGAAGAGTATCTTTCCTCACTTGTTTCTCTCCGCCTCTGTGTGTCTTCATCAGGAGATCGTGGACTGGTTTAATACGATTCGAGCGGTTCAGCTTCACTATCTAATGGTGGCCTTCCCCGGGGCGACAGATGCTGAGGTGAACACACACACTCACACTCACACACACACACACACACTCATACTCACACACACACACACACACACACACACACACACACACACACTCATACTCACACACACACACACACACACACACACACACACTCACACTCACACACACACACACACACACACACTCATACTCACACACACACACACACACACACACACACACACACACACACTCACACTCACATGCTCACGCTCACACACTCATACTCACACACACACACACACACACCACACACACTCACACTCACACTCACACGCTCACACACACACACACACACACACACCATGTATACATCACTTCAGGGGACATTACATTGACTTACATGCATTTCCTGGAGACTTATCCTAACCTTAACCATAACCAACACATGCCTAACCCTAACCCTAACCAAGTATTCACCCTAAAATTAATGATTCCCCTCATGGGGACCTTCATTTTGTCCCCATAAGGGAGGCGAGTCCCCACACGTGACTGTGTAGACAGATTTAGGTCCCCACAAGTATAGTAATGCTAGGCCACACACACACACACACAAACACACACCACACACACACACACACACAAACACACACACACACACACACACACACACATACACACTCACACTCACACACACACACACTCACACACACACTCACACAGTAGGTATTTGAAAAACTCCTACCGTAGATGCTAAGCTTTTATTTAATATATGTGCCAGTGAGATGCTAAAACTGAGCTGGAGATAATTCATTACTGTTTTTATACTATGTGTACAAGCATTTTGTTTAGCAACTGGACACTCAGCACCGAAACTCTTTGTATCCTCAGGGCTATTCTTAATTTCTTGTCTTTGCTTCTTGTTTTCAGCTGGTACACAAACTCACCCGGAACTTTCTGAAGGAAGGATTCATGGAAAAGACCGGCCCCAGGGCGAGTGACTACTTTAAAGTAGAGACAATACATACTGATATACACCTGAACATCAGCAGGAGAGGACTCTTTAAAGTAGAGACACTACATACTGATATACACCTGAACATCAGCAGGAGAGGACTCTTTAAAGTAGAGACAATACATACTGATATACACCTGAACATCAGCAGGAGAGGACTCTTTAAAGTAGAGACACTACATACTGATATACACCTGAACATCAGCAGGAGAGGACTCTTTAAAGTAGAGACACTACATACTGATATACACCTGAACATCAGCAGGAGAGGACTCTTTAAAGTAGAGACACTACATACTGATATACACCTGAACATCAGCAGGAGAGGACTCTTTAAAGTAGAGACACTACATACTGATATACACCTGAACATCAGCAGGAGAGGACTCTTCAAAGTAGAGACACTACATACTGATATACACCTGAACATCAGCAGGAGAGGACTCTTTAAAGTAGAGACAATACATACTGATATACACCTGAACATCAGCAGGAGAGGACTCTTTAAAGTAGAGACAATACATACTGATATACACCTGAACATCAGCAGGAGAGGACTCTTTAAAGTAGAGACACTACATACTGATATACACCTGAACATCAGCAGGAGAGGACTCTTTAAAGTAGAGACACTACATACTGATATACACCTGAACATCAGCAGGAGAGGACTCTTTAAAGTAGAGACAATACATACTGATATACACCTGAACATCAGCAGGAGAGGACTCTTTAAAGTAGAGACACTACATACTGATATACACCTGAACATCAGCAGGAGAGGACTCTTTAAAGTAGAGACACTACATACTGATATACACCTGAACATCAGCAGGAGAGGACTCTTTAAAGTAGAGACACTACATACTGATACACACCTGAACATTAGCAGGAGAGGACTCTTTAAAGTAGAGACACTACATACTGATATACACCTGAACATCAGCAGGAGAGGACTCTTTAAAGTAGAGACACTACATACTGATATACACCTGAACATCAGCAGGAGAGGACTCTTTAAAGTAGAGACACTACATACTGATATACACCTGAACATCAGCAGGAGAGGACTCTTTAAAGTAGAGACACTACATACTGATATACACCTGAACATCAGCAGGAGAGGACTCTTTAAAGTAGAGACACTACATACTGATACACACCTGAACATTAGCAGGAGAGGACTCTTTAAAGTAGAGACACTACATACTGATATACACCTGAACATCAGCAGGAGAGGACTCTTTAAAGTAGAGACACTACATACTGATATACACCTGAACATCAGCAGGAGAGGACTCTTTAAAGTAGAGACACTACATACTGATATACACCTGAACATCAGCAGGAGAGGACTCTTTAAAGTAGAGACACTACATACTGATATACACCTGAACATCAGCAGGAGAGGACTTTTTAAAGTAGAGACACTACATACTGATATACACCTGAACATCAGCAGGAGAGGACTCTTTAAAGTAGAGACACTACATACTGATATACACCTGCACATCAGCAGGAGAGGACTCTTTAAAGTAGAGACACTACATACTGATATACACCTGAACATCAACAGGAGAGGACTCTTTAAATACAGATGTAATAAAATGCAGACATATGTTGGAACTAAGTGTACACAGAAAGAGGCATTTTTACATCAGAATCCAGTTACTTTCTCTCAGACAGCTACACACACAGTAACCTGATCCTCGAGGAAACAGCCGCTTCAGTATTCAGACACACTCTCAGTTTAATCTCTGTGTCAGGCGGTGAGATGAAAGGAGCCACTAACTCACCGCTTTGGGACGATTCGCTAAACGAACGTCATCATTCATTTCCTCGCGCACCTATGAGACATATTTGGGGAAGGAGTCACAGAAGACTGTTTGCTACGAGGAAATCAAACACTTCTATGAAGACTCTTTGGCTGCAGATTGGGACCTGAGCGTCCTTTTTGTTCAAAGCTCGGCTCTCTAAAGCTGCTTCAATAAACTCTCAGAAGGTGTAGCGTTTTATTCAATAGCTTTCACCTAACCTGCTGAAATGAGTTCAACTTTCAATTTAGCCATTTTGAATTCAGTGTCAGAGTGTTATGCCTCACAAACATTCAGAGAGTGTTAGTATGGAGCACAAGTAGAACATCCTGATATAAAATGTAAGACTTATTTCAGGTTTGATGCACTTGTAATGCTCCATGGTTATTTATAAAGGAATACTAAGTACTGATTTATAAAACGGAAAGTATTCTTGACCAAGTGGTTAAATTAGGCTGTTAAGAGATTCCGTATCAGTCAAGTTAAACATGAATACAAATCCCTGCAGCACACAATCATTGCTTTTTTGTCAGGGTCTCCATCTATTTTCAATTTTTAAATATTGCATTAATCCAAACAAGTGTATTATATTGCTGAAACAATGTGTCTCCAACTGTCCAGTAGAAATCAATCAAATGCAATTACCCTGATTGATATCTTTTTTATATTGATGATCCTTATCTGCAGCCACCGCCACTTTAATAATCAATAGTCTTACACAAAGTAGCAGGAGAGCGTGACTCATGAATCCCTCATCCCAAAAAGTCAAGTTAAAAAGACGAGGAAGACAGTATGACTCACCTATTTAATTAAAAGCGAGACACACACAACACCTCCAGTGCTATTACAATACTGCCTTGTGTCTCTCTCGGTGTTTCTCTGTCTCTCTGTCTGACTGTCTGTTCCTCGGCTCTCCTTACAGCATACTGAAGGCTTCAAGAAGCGCTGGTTCACTCTGGACCAAAGGAGACTCATGTACTTCAAAGATCCTCTGGTATGGCATCTCTTCACACACCTACACACATCACAGAGACTTCAGTGTGTCAGTTTATATTCAGGCCTAAATTGATACAACACAAAGGTGGGACCAAGAGAAAGCTTTGCTAAAATCCCAATTAAGTCCAAAGACAAGAATGATGGGTCCAAAGTAATCAGACAAGTCCCAAACAAAGACAGACACGTCTCAAGTAAAGAGAGACTATGGTACTTGTGTTCCTTTTCCTGATCCCAACCTACCATCAACAATGCTACTGTATGATGCAGAGCTGGGACCAAACTTGCAAATCATAATTAAGTCTCAAGTCCAAAATCGAGACGGACAAGTCCCAATTCAAGAATGATGTGTCTCAAGTAAAGACAGAATTGTCTCAAGTAAATACAGTCTAGTCGCAAGTCTAGAGAAAAGGGTCCTCACTGACAAGTTCCAATTAAAGACATACAAGTCCCAAGACATGATAGACTAGTCCAAAGTTGCCCACGTCAAGAATGGGAAGTCCTAACTCAAGAGTGAGTAAACCCAAGTTAAGACGGACTAGTTCCAACTAAAAACAGAAGTAAAGTCCAGAGTTTATAATAAGCCATGTTTTAATATTTGGGCACTAAAGTCGAGTCGAAAATCACACGTCATTTTTGTATTAATTTTGTCTAGTTGCTTCTTAAGTCATATTTATAACCCGAGTCCATGACATGTGATTCAAGTCTCTGCTTGAAGGTATTCCAGTGCTCATATAAAATGATATAAATAAGTATGCAGAGTGGGAGGAGGGGGGACATTAAGCATGACTCAGTGGGGAGTGTCTGATGTAAAGTAAGGTGCTTTCATAACCTTGTTATACATGTGGCCTTTTGCCATGACCTCACTGTATATTGTGGTGGCGTCTTGATCCTTGTCTACAATTTAATAGCCACCTCTATCGGGGTTTTGACGTGTCTCTCTTTGACAAACAATTCAGCGGAGATCGTAGTTGAATCAGATGAGCTTTATTCATTGATCCACACGGCATAGAAACAGGAGGACACATTTCTTCGCTTCATAGTCACTCAAAGTGTATCATTTTCCAAAGTAACAAAAAGAACACGGTCAAAATACTTTTCCGTTTCCCCGTCTATCACCCTCAGCTGTGTCCCATCAACCTACCATATATAGGCATAGCCATGCACGTGACGCACATATCACAAATAATAAGTGAGCCTTAAATGAATGCATTTTAAACCATAATGTGACAAAAATAGCCGATAATTTACAGTATAATCTAATTTATATTATTATTAAGCCTAACATTCAGACAATAATAACAAAAGGTAAAATGGCTCTAACAGTATAGATGGCCTTAAAAGGAAGTGAAACGCTAATAATTTAGAGTTGCTTAACGCTGTAAACTACACTGGGAACTTCCACAGACAACTCTATGTGTTAGACTTTATCTGATGCTTGAGACATTGTGAAAGTTAGATTCTGACTCACAGTTTTTATCACCGAGACTTTCCTTCAGCGGGGGCGGCACAGATTGCCCAACACTTGGCTAAATGCAGATCAGATAGCCTAGCATGATTAGCTCAGCTGATGCAATAGTTCAATGGAGAGGTGCAATAATTATAGGTGACCGAAATGTCCAACTTCCCCTGAGAGTGTAACACAAGAAACTGGTAGATGAAAGGAAGAGGAAGTCTAGTGAAGTTGTGTCGACTGGGAATATGTGGTTTGATGTTGGGTTTACAATGAGGCACTGTGTATGCCATTTGTTCAGACTTTCTGAGAACAAAGGGAGATTTATTTGGGATGTTTAAGCAGTGTCAGCTTGTGGTTATAACACTTCAAAGGTAATTGTTTTAAAGATGATCATGCAATAGTTACATTCAAGGGAAATTGCTGAATGTCCTCTGAAAAAAAGGCTAACAATAAAATGTACACATGTAAAAATGCAAGAAAATAATCTGTCTATAATTTACGTTGTAATCATAAATCTGGGTTTTCAGTTGTATTATTAAATTGAAAATGAGAGGAATTTCAGTCTGGACCAAAGAGGTGGTCCGACCTAGCAATCCAAAAAAGCTACGCAGCTAGCAAGGCTGGTAACGTTGTTTGAGAGCTGAGCCTTAACCTAAAGAAAAACAACACTCATGATGTGTCTCATTCAGAACACTGCCATCTCATATACTGTGAACATTTGCAGTGTGTGAAGGTTGACCAGGTAGCGTTGTCTTAAATCAGGGTCAATTCAACTTTAAATGTAGCCTACAATGAGCTCTTATTATCAACTTGGCCTACTTTCATTCATTTCTCCATTGAAAAACTGGCTCAACTTACCCCACGGCCCGTGCTTCACTTTACCCCACAGCCACCATTTTAGAACAAATAGCCTAGCATTACAATTCAGATTCATCTTTAGCTTAATTATTCACATGGTTTGATACGCTGCCAACACATCAACATAGACAATATATGTGTTTAAACCTGGACACTTTTTTTTAACATGACAGCCGATATAGCTGACATCTAGAACATTTACTTTGACATGAGAAATGGGAGGAGCTTGCATAATTTCTGGTCACTTGATTATAACTATAAGGCGTTGCCTGGTTACAGGGGGTGGTTCAACTTACCACTGGCTCAACTTACCCCCTTCTCCCCTATGTAGTTTTACTCATGGTGCATTTTGCCATACTTTGCATTAAAACGCACTTATGCACTTTAAAGTAGTACAGAAGTACACAAATGTAGACACTGTATAGTATTTTTTGATCACACCTCCCTGTATTCCAAAGTCTTCAGCTGACCTATGTTCATACTCCAGTAGGACTCAGATGAGGATGTTGCACTTTTCCTTTTCCTTGTACATGTGATGTTTTGGTGTTGTTGTTTTGTTTCTTTCCGCTAACTGTCAAGTGGGAACTAAGTTTTTTTTTGTACGTTTTTGTGTTTCTCTTATTTTCCTACAATACTGTTATGTTTGGCTGTGAATAAGAAAATATGAAGGACAGACAATCTATTTATTATTTTTGAGAAAGGGGCAGGTAATATAAGATTATTTTCTTCTCCCTGCTCCTTTTTGGGTACGGTGTGTTTATAGAGACATGTTTTGTAAATAATTATTATACATACAAAATATCTCCTTTTCCCTGTCTTTGAAGGACGCCTTTGCCAAAGGTGAAGTGTTTTTGGGGAACAAGGACCACGGGTACAGCGCCTCACCCGGCCTGCCCGCCGGCACACACTGCAACGGCGCCTGGCAGCACGGCGTCACCATAGAAACGCCCGACCGCGGCTTCCTGTTCACCTGCGAGTCAGAGAGCGACCAGCAGGAGTGGCTGAAACACTTCAATGACGTCATGAATGCTGTGATGTCCCCTCAGGAGTACACAAGTAAGAGTGAAGAACTTTTTGATATAAATAAATATAAATTAGTTGTTGGCTTTTATAATAAGTTAATGATTACTTTTTAATACCTGTAGCTTTTTCTTTTACATCCAATAGCTACTCTGCTTCACAGGGGTACAACCAAATACTTAATACCCACAAAAATGAATTGGCCCTCAACTCTAATATTATTCAGCGCACAAATTAAATGACTTCTTCATCCTTAGCAGTAAAAGTGGTTGCAATGCTACATCGCTCACCTTGACTATGTTTACATGATGAAGCATAGCAGGTCATGTTTACAGATGTTCTTGTTTAGCATGTTAGCCTGCTTTATTTACTAATGAAATGTGTTGTCCAGATATATATTTTGTACGCAATAATATCTAACATCTAATCGTGCTAAACAACAAACTCATTGTAATACATTTTCCAAAAAAAACGGGAATGTCAATACAAGATATTTTGTCAATACTTTTAAAGATATTTTACTCAAAGTGCCACATCTTTAGACAAATTCAACAACCCATATAAGGAACCCTAGAACTGTGTCACTAGCTCAGCCATAAAACCAAATGTTTGGCCTTCAAATTAATCATAATGATGGATCATTTTTAGTTTTCCGTCTTGTGTTAAAGAGCTGTGCAGTCCGATACATTTATTATGTACTGCAAGAAAAGGACAAAACAGGGTTAGGGCAGGGCTATTCAATTAGTTTGGAATGGGGCCGGTTGATGAAAATGATCCAAAGCAAGGGGCCGGGAAAAAGATGACTTGAAATATGAGCAATCATATTAAGAGCTTCAGATACAGTAAATACTACAACAGCATATATTGTGTTTAATTAAGGCAAGGCAAGTTTATTTATATAGCACCTTTCAACACAAGGCAATTCAAAGTGCTTTACAAAAAACGAAAGACATTAAGAAAATGGCATTTAAAAAAACATTAAAAGAAAAAATACATGGATAAAAGTTACAGTGCAGTTTGAGATGTGAATAGTTCAATTAAAAGCAGCGGCAAAAATGTAATTAAACAACATAGCCCCAAGGCCTTTCTAGATATGAATGGCAAGTTCAGAACTCAGTAGTCAGTAGATGTGAAGCTAATCTAACCATCAACATCATTTAATTTGATTTAATTTAGGTGAAATTATCTAATTTCACGCAGAGATGCAATCAATGACAGGAGTTGTCACTACAGTAGCTAGTAGGTGGGTTCGAAACTCGAGCTCGCCGAAGTTTTCAGGCAATGTCTTCCCCTCTATCTCTCAATTTAACACCCTCTCTGGAATAACAAAAACCCCGGGGCCGCCAATTGAATAGCCCTGGTTTAGGGTATACTGAATAGTCTGCATTGGAGGGTTTTGTTCTAACTTTGGACTCTGTTTTGTGTTCAAGTGGAAGCCTTGTTCAAACACAGGCATTGATGGACCGCCTGTGGATCATCTGCTCTCATCCATCACCCTCCAGACTCTGTTCTGCACTACCTTCATCACTGATATCACCACACTGGAGCATCTTACAAGTCCCAATGCTGCCCTTTGGGGGCAGATATCCAAACAAGAGGACCGAGGCAATATTCATCGGTACATTTAAATAAGATATATAGCCAAAACATGATTTAGTTTTGCTCACATTTTTGTAGGAGTAAGAGATAGTAAAAGTTTAGTTTTGGTCTGACCCTAAGCCTAACAAATCCATTGCCCAAATCACCAATATGTTGACCAATGTTATGTTGCTTCCTACTGTTAATCACATGCATGCACAGTGCAGTTTTTAAAGGCAAATTGGTCCTCTTGTATCAAGTATTTTATGCTAGTGTACTCTGATGATTGGGTAATAAAAAAAGGCGACCATCAACAGGACAGAACTGTTTCTTCAGTCTGGGATTAAGATTTTTTTAATAAAACCAATTTTATTCATTGATTTATTTTCATGTAAACTTGTGTATCAAATGTAAAGCAGTCCAGTTCATGAGCTAGAGCTGAAACATGTTGCATAGTGTGCTGTCCACAAAGGACACAGAGATGTTCTAACCAACCTAATATCTTCAGACACACTACCTGTACAGTTTGCATCATGAATGACTTTTGTATGCAGTAGTTTTTGAACAAGTATGCCTGTTGAAGATGATCATTTGCAAATGCATAGGGATAGAAAAGCTGTACGCACTTTAAGACATTGCATGGTCTAACAGTGCCTCCATGTGGCAAACCATACCATCACTAAATCTTTGTTAAAACAATCAATGTTTCAGGTTAAATGTTTTCCTTTTCTGTTCTTTTGGTTAAAGAGGTACTCCCTTTGGGTGTTGACTTGGTGTCTTTTGTAACCCTTATGTTGTGTTCGGGTCTCCCGTGACCCGTTTCAAGTTCAAACTATATAATAACTACGCTCTAGTTTTTTTATCGGAACAAGGCTTCACGATATCCTCCACAACAGCTATATGAACACTACAAAACAGATTTTAGCCAAGTTTGAAGGTGTCTAGAAAAGTGTATAATTTAGCGTTCGGGTCTGGGGAGACCCGACAGAGTTGTTGTGGGTGACTCCGGGTCAAATTTGGCCCAATCAAGATTCATCTTTGACTTTAGACACCCCTCCCCCTTCATCCACTGTAACAATAATTTAAAACGTTGTATTGTTTTCTAATACGAGTCTATTATAGTCAGATAACGATCCACCGTCTTCACTATAGGAAATATAATGAGTGAATTTAATCACATGTTTTACTTAAATATGTTGGGTAATGTTTTTAGGGGCCATAAAATAAAATTACAACAGGATTGTACGGTTATGAATGCATAATAAGTTAGTTATGATGTAGTTAAAACAATATTGGATGATAGTCGTTATTTTTGAGTGTTTTGGACTGAGATAAATCATGAGTCAAAATTGAACCGCGAACACCAGCTTTCGAACACAACACAAGGGTTAAGGCATTTCTATGCTTGAGCATGGCTGACTGACATACCACATGAACATATTGATAATGAATAATAAAATAAATATTTCTTCTGGAAGTTGTCGAGGAATCTCTGAACGGATTTGTGCACAAATTCAGAAGTTGTGAATCATTTTTGAAAAATGTACAGTGAGCTTTTCCAAAACAAACTTTATTCCGGGCCCTAATGCATTTTTTGAATCCTATTATTATATTGGAAAGTGACATTTCCTACACCATAAACGTATACAGATTTAAGATTCTTTCACACTCAGAGAACGCAGGTGAAGTAGGTTCTTACAAGTTGTGAATATACGGTTCAAATTAAGAAGTTTTACATCTAAAACGAGCTAAAATAAAACTTTCTCTACTATGTTGTGCATAGGCAAGTGTGTGTGGTTGTGGACGACTTCCCCCACCGGTGGTTTCTGGGTGTTTAAAACTACAGAGGCCAGAGAGGAATACCTCATAAATCTATAGGTCCTCGCCAGTTTTCACCCAGGTGAGAAAGAGGTAGGACGGAGAAGAGAAAAGGAGAGAGAGTGACCATGAAAACCCCAAAGAACACAAACACTTTGGTCTTCTGTCAAACTGGGGACTTTCATGGATCCGAGCTTCATCTGTAATGGAGGTCAAAGGAGGTTAAGAAGAGCGGAGGGAAAGCGGCAACATGGATCATTTGGATGAAGCAAAGGATCTCTTCCACTTCAGGTAGAAATCTGGAGAAAATAAGTTGGACTGGATATGATACAGCTGATGATTCAACGCTATTTGAGACAAGAAAACCTATGGAGGTCACGTCAGTGGTCAGAAATGTATTGAAAGTGACTGAACTAATCCCTATAAGGAGACTCCCTGGAATCTTGTGCAACTGAAGTCGACTTCAAGCAAACCTCGCCTCGGCACTTTGTCACGATTTTGGAGAGTGGAGGGCATTAGTCCTGGGGATCACAATCGACTGGAAGCTCCTTCGAATCGTCACTGAAGCTGCTGGCATTGTTCATCTACCTTGTCTTCTTATTGGATTAAAACACATGTCACCTATCGCATATCAATGCTGTTTCTTGGCTTCACAGCTTGTATACAAGTTGGTTTTTACCTGCATTGTCTGGAAGAAATTGCTGTATTTTCTATGAGAACAAGTTTGTTTTACAGGCATGTTTTGGGACTCATTTTCGAAAATAATTACTGTATTTTCTATCAGAAGCCATCTGTTCTACACATCACAGCATGACATGTTCGTACCGACTTTAAAAGCTTTTGAAATTGAATGCAATGTCCTTGGATCTGTGAACCTGCCATGAACTGCACGACCAACGCCACCATCACTCCTCAGCTGGGCCTCGTCCTGAGCCCAGGGGCTGAAAATGGAGGGACTCAGGACAGTAGTGGTGGTGGAGGCGCTGGTGGTGGACTTTGGGTGACATCTCTACTTGGTGTAACTCTGATGTTCATGTGTGCCATGGGTGTGGCGGGCAACATGTACACGCTCGTCATCACGCGATCGGCTGCCTTGCGTAGAAATGGCTCGATGTACGTTTACATCGTCAACTTGGCTCTGGCGGATCTCCTCTACTTGTCCACCATCCCCTTCGTCGTTTGTACTTACTTCGCCCACGACTGGCTGTTCGGAGAGGCGGGATGTCGCATCCTGCTGAGCCTCGACCTCCTCACCATGCACGCCAGCGTCTTCATCCTGGTCGCTATGAGTCTTGAACGCTACCGTGCCGTGGCGAGACCTTTCAGCGCTCACAAGTCCTCGACTCGTAAACGGAGGCTAGCTGCGTGGGTTATCTGGGGGTTAGCTTTCGTGCTAACGCTCCCCATGATGGTGATGATCCGCCTCAGAGAGGGGAAACCGACCGCGAGTGGAATGGTGAAGAGGATCTGCTTCCCTACGTGGACGTATGAGGCCTTCAAGGCTTACATCACCGTGCTGTTTCTGACCAGTGTTTTAGTTCCTGGATTGATAATCGTCGGGCTATACGTGGGGCTAGCTAGCCGCTACTGGGCGGTTCAGGCTAGTTTTGGAGGCAGCAGCCGTTCTGCCAACAGGAGAGGACTCAAACAGAAAGTTGTGTCCATGATCTTCAGCATCGTGGTGGCATACTGGGCGTGTTTCCTGCCTTTCTGGGGATGGCAGCTAGCCAAACTCTTCTCTCCAGAGTCCCTCAGTGCTTTGTCTCCGGCGGCGCATAATTACGTGAATTTCTTCGTCACGTGTCTGACGTACGGGAACAGCTGCATCAATCCATTTCTTTACACTCTCCTGACCCGAAACTATAAAGACTACTTGGCGCAGAAAAGTCAGTCCGTGGGATCGAGCAGGGCTGACCCCGTGTCAGCCGTGACGACGCCACTGCAGGAACTTTAGTGGATGAATAAATACCCGCTAAGCATTGACACCCAAGTGAGACATTGGTATTGACTGTTTATCCGCCGGAGGGAGACATTTCTGTTCTAGATTCTTTGTACATAACTGGAAAGTGTCATATTTGTGAGACATCTGTCGTAGCACTATCTACAAACGTTGGCTTTGTAAAGCCGTTTAACCAGAGCTGTTAAGGATTAAGAGAAATCCAACACAGCAGGTGTTTGCTGACATAGAAATCTGTTTGGAGGCAAACGGCAAACATTTTAGCATTTTAATTTTAGAAAAAGAAGACTCATTCTCACATGTACAGGACAAATGGCTCCCAAACTATTACTGCCTCCTTGAATTATGTTAAAAAACACGATTTGATATGAACTTTAGGTTAAAAAAAATGTGGGTTCAATTGCCAGTTGTTACTTAAATACAAAAGGTTTAATAAGTTGTAAAATATGATATTTTAATAGTTTTCAATACATCTAGGGAAGAAATGCTGGCGACACAAATTCATCGTAGCACTTTGTCGCCATGGCTTTCTGATGTTTGGTGAATGCAATGAAACGTAAAGATTGTTCCTTTCCTCTCCTATCTGCCGTATCACTTTAAACACACACATGTAAAGGATATTTCATCTGCGTGCGGGGAATGTGTTTGCATCGTGCCACATTCCTCAGCCTCGAGCCACATCTTCTTTGAGTCCTCCTGCAAATTGACTTTGAAAGAGCTGCTTCATCTCACCTCTGTCGTATATACACTCTTTGCATTACCCTGTGTAATACTCTATAACCTGCTCTTTATTCATAGTGCAATAACT